GTTACCCGGCTATGTTAAGAAAGATTTTAGCAAATTAAAAACTGGCCTTATAAATCAATGACCATCCTAGATTTCCTGATAAATAACGATCATTTTATCCAAACTTAAAAAAACTCTTTACTGACGTAAATTAATAGCCTTATTGTTTAACTATATAAAACAATTCACAAACTAGGTACTTGGTGCTGTTAACATATTTTTCAGGTACCGGAGTGATAAACCCGACCCAGGCCCAATTCTTTAAGCCTACCTTGATGGGATCTAAACTCACCGATTTTGTTGGAACGTATCGTGCAAAGCATTTTCCCATATCAATACGCCTGGCTGCTGCCTGTCGTCATCTAATAGAGACGCTTGGCGAACTTGAAGCTTATGCAGCCATTTTGGGCCCGAATGATAGCCCTACGGCAGGAAATAATCGGCCACTGCATGCAGCTGTGCTGCGACGCTACGAACGTCTCTGGCTACCTCTAGCCGCCATTCATGGCCTGACTAGTGGTGCACCAGTTGATGTCGAATGGGCTTGGCTCGCTCACATGATGGATCCACTAGCCTATCGACAAGACTGTCAAAGGTAACCCGAATTCACCGTCAGAGGAAACATGAAAAGATAAGCAAGATGCTCCTATCAATAAAGCTGCTTGATTTACAGGACAAATCCAAGCTACCTCTTAACTTGAATCTATCTGAGTGGAACAGGTGTTGAAATTAAATCATAACTTAATCATCTTCTAAAAATAGGTTTAATCGAACTATAAATCAAATAGCATTTTATGTATTCTGGTTGTAGAATTAGACTTCATGAAAGATCACTAAAGTATCATGTTTATTGGAGAAACGAGTGAAGCTGGTTTACCGGGAAATACATCATCGTACACCTGCTAAGAATAAAATTGTCCATTTCGAGTCAACTTTTATATTTCGTGCAAACCAAGCTAGATTATCTGATAAAAATTTTTCAGCGAAATTTGCCCTTGCAATATAGGGAAGTCTCATCCTCATTAAGCTTAGCTAACACACCCAGTCTTATCACAATCTTCTCTATTTCGGTCCAGCCCACTTTTCCCATGCTCTATTATATGAACAAGCATGCAAACAAGCTCGCATGCTAAATGATGTACATTTGCGCATAGGGCTTTACAAAAATTCTTATGCAGCTCTATGGCTGGATGGTTCACGAGCGTTAGGCTCTTCAATATTGATCTGGCTAAATTCGTTTATTGATAACGGGCGTTCTGGGTAGCAAAATGGTAGTTCTTACTTATTTGAGTGGGGCGATATAGGAAAACCACGCTAACGTGGTTTTTTTATCTCACATTCATTTTCCTTCTTCAGGATTAATAAAAGATTATTTACGTCAATACGCCTAGCTTGCTTCATCTGTTTTGCATGCCTGGTTAAGTAAGATTCATATAAGGTGTTGCACTATTCTGTCAACCTTTAATTAATTAGATTTAGCACACATTACAAATATAAACTTCATATGAATTAATTTTAAATCTTTTGAACAATTTTCAAGCAAATCTGAGCAAACCTTACTATGCATATGTTTTGGTTTTATTTTATTAGTGCTTGTTTTGCAAGA